AACAATAAGAGATATCATAACAATTTGAACATATTGCAAATGTATTATCACAACTTAACAATAAGATATTTTTTTTATATGCAGTAGTCACCAATAAGAGTTGAGGTACCTGTTAGTGTCGTAGGTTGCATCAAATGAGACGACATCTCCAAACAGCAGGTAATTTTTTCTTGAAATTGGGTCTGCCCAGAATATCTTGCTTAATTTGTTATTTCCATCAACTGTGCACTCAAATGATATGTCTGGGCATACTTCTTGTTTGTGGTGGAATTTTTGAACAATGAGTTGTGCATCTGCTCCTGACATGTAAGTCATAAGTTGTCTCTTGTAGTTCTTGAAATCCATTTTGAGAGCACCAACGTTAGCATCTCCCCTAAGCATCTCTTTGTACAATCTATGGCTTTTAGTTGTGCCAATGTTTGCTCTCACACAATTAAGAATAAATTTTTGGTGTCCGTAATTCAATTGCCGGTTTGCATTGAGATATTGTGTCTCCAATGACAGGGCGTGACAATGTTTTTCTTCAAATTCAGCGATTTTGTACCCATTTCCATTATACTCAAATACTGCTCGAGCTTTGCAACCAACCCTTTTCGACACACGGTGTCGTGGAACCACACCTGACTCAGAATGTAGTTGTGACATGCTCTTTGAAGTATTTTGTGGGTTTTCTGGCTTAAATCCTTCTCTATTGCAAACCATATACTGTTTACTTATCACACCACTTCTAAACCGTTTTGTTGTGTAAGTCCGCACATCAAATCCACCATTTGCTCCGTAGTTTCTGTAGAATTCCTTTGCATTATCAAGGTTTGAAAATAGCATTCCGACTTTAGGCTTTATATCTTGTTGGACGATTGGCATCCAATACTTTGTTAAATTTGGCGATATCACCAATTAAATCTGAGATCCCTCATGAGTGTACCTACTTCAAAATATAAGAAGAAAAACAAGTTTTGATAACTGTTGTAATTTTAGTTCAACAATCTTGCTATTTTATAATTAAAACGGTGCATATACAGTTATAATATAAAACAACTGCAATTATAACGTGCATTCTTATCATGACACTTTTGCATACTTAGTTCATCAAAGTTGCTCAGTTAGATATACGACATTGCATATATGTTTCTAATGCAGAACATCTGAATGAATGAATAAGCAATTATGACGTGCATACTTATTGATATAATCATGCATAATTATTTATTCTTTCATGCATAATTTGTTTTATTATATATTCATCTAATGTGCAAGCATAACAGTGCAACACCCAATTTCTACGTGCATAATTAATAATACATATTGCATATTTAGTTATTTCTCCATGCACGTGTATTCATAAACCACAACATATGTAATATGCTTATTAGAAAACAGAGATTCTACCTCCAAATCAGAATTACAGATAAGCACGAACAGTTGTCCTAATATAATGTGATCTATCTAATTAAATAAATCGATTCACATGAATGTTGAATTCAGAAGCACGTATTTATTTAAAATTGAATGAATCGATTTGGAAAAAAATAAAATCGGTACACCTTCTTCCATCAATGTCGCAACTGGAGTTGCTTCGATCTCCATTGAAGCTGCTTCTGCCGACATTTGCAGACAAATCTCATGAACCTTACGAATGTGATGATTTTGATCGACTTTTTCCTCTGGATATTTTGATATGCAGTTGGGTATGTTTATCGGATCAATAAAAACGAGGGTTTAACCTAATCAGATGATGAAATCGAAATTCTAACTGAGAAGGAAATCGAGATTGAGAAGGAAACCGCAGAGAATCGTGAGTGAGAAGGAAATTTGAGATATTTTTCTGTTTTGGTGCGCGTGGGAGTTGAAATCGTTGATTTTGATGCTGACCGTATATCTAAAAGTCAGATCCAAAGGCTGAGAATTGGTCTTACGTTCACATTTTAAGATGTGGACTCATTGGATCCTCCCCTATATATATATATATATTTATGTACGGATTTGTATTATTTGGATTCCATGCAAAATGGGAGTATTTCCAATTAATCAGCAACTCAATATTTGTAGAGATTTTTATGGGATGAATTTTGTTAGACCGATTTTTTACACGTCAATCACGATGGGATTATTTCACCACATTTAATCGGGGTCAAATTTGAATTCAAACTTTCGAATTTAATGGGATTATTTCACCACATTTAATGCAGCAATTAAAAGCAGATAAGATCTTTACTATTAATAGAAAGAAATAAATGCATGTTGAGTTTGACTAAGGGTTTGACTTGCTATTTTTAAAAAAAAATGGTAAATCTTTATATATATATATATATATATATATATATATATATAGATTAAGTATATAATGATGCGTATATTTAGTTAATTATTGATGCATATTTACTTATTTAGTTAATTCATTATGCATATTTAGTTCATCCATAGTGCATATTTGCCATATTTAAAATAAATATATAATGATGCATATTTAGTTCATAGATAATGCATATTTAGTTAATAGAAATGAACATTTGTTATTTAAATTAAATATATACATGATGCATATTTAGTTCATTAATGATGCATATTTAGTTTATTCGAAATGCATATTTAGTTCGTCCATATTGCATATTTGTTATATTTAATTTAAATATATACATACATATTTAGTTCATTCATGATACATATTTAGTTAATTAATGATCTATATTTAATTCATTGATGAAGCATATTTAGTTAATACGAAATACATATTTGTTATATTTAAATTAAATATATAATGATGCATATTTAGTTCATTCATGATGTATATTTAGTTAATACGAAATGTATAGTTAATTAATACATAGTGCATATTTGTTTTATTTACATTAAAATGTATGTTGATACATATTTAGTTTATTCTTTTTTTTTTTCCAAAACGATAGAAATTACTATTAATCAAAAGCACACAAATGTGCGAATACAAGCAGCCGACGGCTGAAAAGTGGGAGGACATGTCCGGA